ATTCATCAACAAAATTATGTTCAAGCAATTTAAGACCACAATCAACTTCAACAAACACCTCAAATATACTTAAGAGCAAAATAAATGCATATTTAATTCAAGTTCACATTTTCTTAAGATTATGCAACATATGTCTTGTAATCAATGTCAACCAAAATTTGTATAATCAATCAAGCATTTAAATTTCATCAAGAATAGGTAACCAAATTAAAATTCTCTTCAAATAAAAGTTTAAAAGTTACCCATATCCATTGTGTGTCTAGAGTTCCATTCTTTAAAATCATAATGTAGCTCCTTGCTCTAGCACACCTACAATAGATAATCACATTTGATTTTTGGTACCTAAATTACTATGAGTTCTTGAGAGTTAGTCACCAAGTCTCTTATTTCTTTTGGAACCCATACTTACTTAATTCTAAATGAAACTTTTCTCTTTATAGGACAAGTATATGTAGTATGACCATAAAAATTATAAAAATTGCATTTAATCATTTTAGTACTTAAACAAGTCTTGAAGAGATTTTGTTTTTCATTCATCAATTCATCAAATTTCTTTTTCAAATCAAAATTTTCTTTTTCTAAAAATTCATTTCTACTTTGAGATGTTTCTAAATTCATTTTCATCTTTTCATTTTATTTTTTCAAATCATTCTTTGCATTCATTAAAAATTCATTTTCAACTTTTAATTTTGAAATCATTTTCTTGTGTTTCAAATGCATATTTTTAAATCAATTACTAAATCATTGTAAGCATCTTGTAACTCATCAAAAGTATAAGGTTTGAATCACAAGAGTTAGAGGTTACCTTCAATTCCTCAATAGCTATGAGACATGCTGCATGTTGGTAAAAAATTTATATTTCATGTAGCTCATCCAACTTCCTCCATATCTCATTTGAAATGAAATAATTTGAGACTAAGTTAAAGTTACGGGAGTCAAGAGTTTCATAGAGAATGCACTTGGCCTTTATATCATCCATCATTTACCTCATATACTTTGCATCATTTGAAAGAATTCCAAGCTTTAAAATCTTGGGCATTATGAACATCTTCATCATCCTTCTCCATTAACAAAATTCAAATTTATCAAACACAGGAGCTTTAAGAACTTTATCACCATCTTATAACCTAAATTGAGCCATAAGATCTTTATTCAAGGTGGTTAAACCTACAAAAAGGGACTAAAGCTCTGATATCAATTATTAGCTTTATAGGTGAGATGGTGATTCAAGATGAGGTAAATTGAATTTCTTCAAATTCTTCTCAAACAATGATTTCAAAGTAATTGAATGAAAAATTAAAAACAATATCAAAATATGATGCAAATAATAATGAATTGATGAACTATAAGTAAATATAAACTATAATTAAAATAAAGAGATAGGGATAGAGAAATCAAACACAAGAATTTATAGAGATTTGGTCTTTCTCTATAAGGCACCTACGTCATTTCTCTTGGTTGTCTACACCAAGGATTCAATCCATTAATTGAAAGAAAACTCTTACAAGATACAAAATTATCTTGTAGTAAATTTCTATTTTTTTTAAGGCTTAGATAGCAACCTCTACCCTTACAATATCAAGATGATACCTCACCTCTTACTCATAAGATAACCCAAATAATTTTTGTAAACTAAAATACCTCTCAAGGTTGAGTGTTTGCCTAATAAAGTATAAAAAAATTTGATGAATGAGCAATACAATATAGCTTGGATACAAGAAATACAAAAATGTAGACTTTTAAGCTCTAACAACTTTTGATTCTTTGAGAGAATGAAAATATAACTTGTTGGCTCTTGCTCTCTTGCTTCATCAATTTTCTTGGTGTGTTGGAATGGCTAATATATAGAGAAATTCAAGAACTAGCTATTGGGGAAGCTTGGAAGAAGAAATTGGTTGTTAAAAGCATGAAAAACTAGCCGTTGGAATTGTTCTAAGGCATACCCGATCGATCCTTTTCATGAGAGGATCAATTGGTCTACTTTTGTTGCCTATTTCATGCTTAAAAAATAAGACCTAATCGATCCCTTCCATGAGGGGATCAATTGGTTCACTTTTGAAAGCCAATTATGCCTTGCACATAACACTACCTAATCGATATTTTTATGTAGAGGATCGATTGGTTCAAAAGGGTGATTGATCCCCGACATACAGTGATAGATCCTTTCTTCAACTAGGAGCACAATGCTACTTTCTAGGTAAAAATACAATCAATCATTTCCCTGAAAGAATCAATCATATCCGTGGCGGGTGGTTGTTTCCTATTTTGTACTCTACTCACTAATTTGATCACACGTTGAGTTACACGAATCCAAATCATAAACTGTTTGAAGATTTAGAAATTAGACTTAAAGGGCTTTCTATCTATGTAAAATTCATCACTAATTTATTGTGTACGAATTATAGTGAATTTTCAAAACTATCCATTGCAAAATGTCTAGTAAAATTTCAAAATCTTTTCGTACAAAATTTAGATTTTGATTTTGTTTGATCCATTAAAAAGTATACTCAAATAGCTTTCCAACCATATAAAATTCAAATATTAAAACTTTGTGAATTAATATAGAAAAATAAAACAAGTTCAATGTTGGAAAACTTTGTTATTGTAAAACAACTTTATTAAGTTAATCTATTTCTCAAAACCAATATTATTAAAATTGTATTAAGTCCAAAATGAATAAATTCACCTTAAAAACCAACAATTGAACTTTCATTTAAGCTTAAATAAATAATCTTTAAAGATAGATTTGGTTTGAGAAATATGAAACCAAGAAAGGTTTGTTTAAACTTTGAAAATCATATTATGTATTTAGTACCAAAATATAAAACTTAGGAATATGTATTAAATAAATCTTTTTAAAAATCTTGATCAAGCTCATTTAGCTTAATGTTTTATCATTTCAAAATAAGGATCAATTCAAGGCTAACAAGTATAATCATGATGTCATATTCAATGTTTATCTTTATGGCAAAATTGCTACTTTACTGGCAACTGTTGATCATCAATGAGAAAAGATAACACCTTATTTTTCAATACTAAAGTGTATTGGAAAGAACCAATTAAATTCACATTGTTTTTCTCCACAGAGAAACAAGTAAACAACTAGTAGCAACAACATCCCAAAGTTGTTGAAATCGAAGGTTCAAGTTCAAAATCAAACTCATACAATGACATTCCCCTCTTTGCAAAATGAGCCCAACTAATGTCCAAACATCTTATATTTTGGTAAAAAAAAAACCCTCGTTTTATAATACCTTACTTAATCACAAACTATTGTCTTACCTCTCTGCTTGTATTAGAACTCAAAATAAACAATGCTCATCATTAATTGCTTCATCTTTTCTTGCCTTGCTTTAAACAAATTTCCATATTTTTTTTCAACTTGAAAATGTTGTGGATACTGTGTTGCAATTTTTTGATCATTTTAATTTTCAGTTTGATGTGCTTGATTCTTATGGCCATGCAAGATATATTTTGTTCTGAGTATGGTTTTTTTTTTTTCATTTTGTGGTTACCGTTTTCATGCATTGATTTTTCTGCATATGTTAACCAAATGTTTTTCTAGGTATTTGTTTTATTGCTTGGACCATAGTATTTTTTTATGCATGGTAACTGCTTGAAATTTTAAATGTTCTATTTTTGAAAATATATTTGTTTTATAGTGTTCGGAATTGATGGTGTTTAATTCTTCAATTATAAGACTTTTGTTTTTTTCCTTACAACTACTTATAAGAAATCTCTTAACTTTGGTCACTTTGATTAATTTTTGTTTAAAATGTCAATCTTATGATAATAGCTTAGGTCTGATTCAAATGTTTAAACCATGAGCAATCAACATTATGTTTTCCCTTGCCTGAGTTATCTATTGTGGTTATTTCCTTTGATGTTAATCTATGATTCAAACAATCTTGATTATATTTCTAATCAATACCATTCTTATTCTTTACACAATATGTTCCTGCAACATTTGCCAAATGTTTCCTTCTAGCCCATCTAATGGATCTAACTTTTTAAATATGAAAATAGAAAACAGAATCTTTTGTTCAAAACACTGGCACCATCATGGATCAGCAACAAATAGAATTGTTTGTTCATTACATTACACCATGAAAAACAAAACCTTTTCAATTGACTGACATCACTTTGCAATCGATAATCACCTCAACCTTGGAGAGCGATACATATTTCACAAGATTGAACTAAACAAATTCAATGGTTTCATCGTTCGCATTACTTAACTGCATAACCAAGTGAACGCTATTGTTCCCATTTTGTTAAATACCAAAATTACTGTTCTAATGTTCTCATTTTGTCAAACAGCTATTGATGTTGCTATTTTGTCAAAATGTAGTTTAACCCTTATTCCTACGTACAAAACATCTTTTTTTTTTTTTTTGTATCTACTAAACGGTTGTAAAGAATATTCTCTTTTGTAAATAGTAAACAACAGTTTAACATCTACTACTAATAATGGAACATTTGACTACTTATGTTTGTCATTTGATGTTAAATTTTATTAAATTAGTAAATAATCATCATTTGATGTTAAATTTTATTAAATTAGTAAATAATCACTCTTTCTAAATCCTAAAACTTTATTGAATTGGTAAATAATCACTCTTTCTAAATCATGCAACGAAGTGCAAGTACTTTGACTAGTATATGCGTTAAAATCTAAACCAATTTTACATTGGAAACTTTTAATACATTCTTAAAATTTGTATAAAAAAAGGAAGCATATAACCTATAATTCTTTATTACAATGTTACAATTGCTCAATCAAAATAAAGATTGATGTAGGGGTTCACCATCTATAAATATAGTTTCCATATAAAATTTTGATGGATCCCATATAATTCTAAATTGTGATTGATTAATTGTATTATAATTATTGTAGTTGATATGCTAAAAAAAAAAGCATAATTTCAAATGAAAAAAAAAAATCCACCACAAATATATATATATATATATCTATATCTATGTGGATTTTCTTCCTTTGATATGATTGTCTTCAATGGCTCAATCAGATTGGGCTTAAGGATAATTCGGGGGAGAGAGACGGTCAAGTATTGCTTCACATCCCATGATAAGATTGAAAAGCAAATCAGTAGATAAGAATGGCTGTTGCAGATCCCATGGCATGTAGGATGAGTACACAGAATAAGCACCTGTCCGCTTCTTGTGCTTCTTCACAATCTTGATCAACCCTAATAAATTTTATTGTAGTGAAAATAAAATTCAGGTAATTTTGCCTAGTATTTCTTGAGATTATTGATGATTTACAAAACTATTGAGCTTGATTAAAAAGGCTATATACCTTGAAAGTTAGTGATACTAAAATGGTGTAGCATCACCATCTCGGACTGAAAAGCTAAAATTTCCCTCAGCACTTCCAACATTTCTTCATTACCGGTTAAGTTTTCAGCCCTGATTTCCAGTTCCTGAAACACCCAAAAACAAGGATTTCTTAATTTCAACCAAATTGAATTTATTGCACAAACAAAAACAAAGTTGTGATTAATTCTTTTGAATGGAGGATCAGGGAACAAGTGTTACTCTGAATTTGATGACATAATCTTCCTCTTTGTCGATGTAAAATGTATTGATCTTATCGAGTTCCCTGTCTAATAACAGGGTGAAGCCCATGTCTTCTGTTGGTAAATTCCCCTCATTGTTTACACCATCTGAAAAATTTCCACGGCTTGAATGGGGGTTTATCAGTTTCACTTTCTTCTTTAATGCCTTGTAAGCCATAAACTTCTGTTCCCAATCAGGCAAGCTTTTTGCTACCTGATCTCGATGTGTTTTTCCATGTTTCATCTCTTCTCCCTGTCAAAGTTTCAATGATTGGTGAAGAGGCGAGCAGAAATATATATATATTTATATAAATATTACAAAGAAAGTATTTTATATATATATATATATATATATATATCGTATACAACCATAGGCATATTCGCATCACCACCAGATTTTTAAACGACAATCCAATAGTTTAAAACCTTTCCATGCATCAACTTTTAGAGACGATTTGGCTGGAAGCTTGTATCCATGAAAATTACAAGGTAGATTGCAAAATATTCCTTGTTGCTGCCTTTGCAAAACTTGTATATTCCAAGATGCTGGTGCAGAATCTGAATATTCCACAATGCTGCTGCAAATATTTTCTTCTCATTCTTTATATTATTCAATAAAAATGTCTACATCACTTCTTCCTCGAATCCATCGAAAAAAATTCATGAGATCCTAATTAGGTAACACTGTATGTTTTCTCTTTTCTTAATCTGATAAGCTAGACTGTTTTTCTCTCTTAGACATCAATTGGAAGGACTTTACCAATAAATCCAAGAATAATATGTTCACATAGTAAATCACTTGGTTGACTGGTTCTAGATTCTTGCCAATATTCGATCATCATTTGCTTGTAAAACAGAGAGATATCAATTATAAAAATTTTAATTTTAATTCAATTAATTCAATTAATTATTTTTAAAAAATAATATTAAATATGATTTGAGTTCGAATTATAATATTTGTAACCTCTTCATTTATTCTGAACTTATGGCCTTTTATATATAAATAAAAAAAAAACTATTTATAGTCATTTGATGCTACCATATTGCTTTGATTTAAGAAGTACGAACGTGGGACATGAATATAATACAATATAAACATATAGTGATTCAACAAGTTTTAAAAAATTAAGATACGATGCGGTAGGACGCGCCTATTAAAAGATAATAAATATATATTATATAAATTTATTATTTTTTAATGAAAAATAACCAACATGCACTAAAATCTTTTTTTAAAAATTATTTTGCAGTTGCTATTTTATAATAATTAGGTGAGTGCTCTTATGTTGTTATGGGTCAAAAAAAAAAATATTTTGTCATTCATATTTATTGGTTTTATTGTTGAAAAATATACTTAATTTTTTAAAAAAACAAAAATGATAAAAAGTAAAAAAATCAAATAAAGATGATACACAGAGACTCAAATTGATATCCTATCTTGAATTAATTTGATACTATTTTTTATAAAAGTGTTTTGTATTGAATAAAAACAAATAAAAATTTATTTAATATTATTTATTTTATTAATCAAGATAAATATAAATTCATTTGATATTGATTATTTTATTAATCGAGACAAATAAAAATTCATTAGATATTGATTATTTTATTAATCGAGATAGATAAAAACTTATTTGATTATTTGATTATCTCTATTAATTGATTTATTTTATTGTAAAATCGACTTAACTAAAAGAGGACCGAAAAGAAAAGGAAGATTGCTTTACTCTCATGTTTCTCTCTCTTCTATTTTATTTCTCTGCTGAGTAAACATTGAGAATAACCATTTGTGCCTTCACCGTCGGTACCCAGAAAAGTTTTAACCTTTCATTACCGTGTCCAAAATAATTTTCTTTTTCCAAAATTTCTCACATGTCCAGCGGCGTTGGATGTCCGGACACGTATCCCGACAGGAATACGTCGAGGTCAGAGTCGTATCGGTGCTTCTTAGGCTTTGATTTAAATGGATGATAATGCCCATAATTAATTTCCCAAAAAACTATAATTTTCTTGTTTTCGAAATCAAGCCTACATTAATATTCAAGTTTGCAGAAATACTTGCTTTGGTTTCTTTTTTCCATGCGAACTAAAAATGAGAGGGGAAGGCACCATTGTTGTAATTTCCATACATTACTGCGACCACAACAGTGACAAAAACAACTATTCTTTGGTATATTGCATAAATGATGAGAACAGATAAACACAAAAGCCATTTGAACTTTTCATTAAAAAGATGTAGACACTTTTTTTTTTTAATTTAGAATTTAAATCCCATCTCAAAGTCACATAAATTCATGATATAATGATCAATTTGGCAGCAGTTTGATGAGCATGTGAGTAGAATAATGGGACAATAACTACTGCAATTCATCAGCCAACAATACTAGGAGGAATTTGATGGATAAATTAAGCCGATGGCCTAAAGTTCACACACACACACATATATATATATATATATATTTCCTGCTGGCCTCCCCTGCATTTTGTTCTACTAAATTGAAAGGGCCAAGTATCGGAGCTGTTGCATAACTATCATCCTTTCCAGACTAAACATTTCATATCAGTGCCAAAGTGCAATAGAAAAATAATTGACGTGTTTGTTGTACAGATAAAATCGAAGGCTTGCTCGAACAAGAAAAAAGAAGCCGAAAGGAAAAGGAGAATTGATCTAGCTTTTCATAAAAATAATGCAAAAATATTAAGATCTTAAATTTTTTTATGTAGGGGATTAGAAAAGAGTTCGACATTTCGAAAAAAAGTTATATATATTTAGATTTGAACTTCAAATAAACACCATCTTGTTGGTGAGAGAATAGACTTAATTGTGCCAATGTTCAAGGTCATTAAGATCTTAAATCTTAGATCCTCAATAAGTCCTTAATTAGTAGTTTCAAGGCTTACCTTCCATTTTTGTTAAACTGTATGGATGGTGCAGTTTGTATTATTTTCTTTGAATAACCAGATCCTGGACCATCTAGCACTGCAATAGGCTCTTGGTTCTTAATTCTTCTCTTCAGTCATGTGCATTGATTGAATGGTGAAACCTAAACCCTAATAATGTCATCACGCACTTGAAGAGATGGATTCATGTTTTGAAGCAAGGTATATCCATGGACAATCAAAAATTAAAAGATAAAAAAATTTGAAAGAAAAAATTTCTTTGAACACCCTCTAAATTTTCTTCTAACATCTGTAAAATTGACAAATCCATTTCTTGTTTTATATTTATATGGACAATTCCGAAAAAAAAAAATCTTGGATCTATCACTGTGCACTTGGGGTTGTGGTATTATCTGTAGCAAGCCTTGGTTGCAGTCTGAACTTGCCAGATATACTAAGGCAAAATGAAAAATCTAAAAGGTTTAGAAAGAGAGCTAAATATTGTCAAAACCTGACATGAAATTATAGATAAATTGCATGCCCACCAAGCCCTTGTTTAACTATGGAATTTGAAAATCTTTTCGGCGGGCACAATTAATTAAGGCCTTAGAGCTTTTTCGTTTGAAATTTGAACTACATAATCCAAAATCCGGGTCCTAATGTCTTATACAATCCCTGCAGGAAGTCGATTACAAAAATTTTATTGCAGCAAATATAAGACTCGTGATTAAACAACTCTTAAGATTTGTAGGTAAACTTTGGCTTGCTTGTGGAGCACGTAATCAAGCATTAAATCATGAATTTAAATGAGCTAAACCAGATTGAGTTTAAAGAGGTTAAATATGGTTTTAAGCTTTGCGTGCAAATTAACTTCAAATAGAAGCACAGGTTGGGAACACCAGAGCTTAGTGGAGCCATGTACATGACCACTTTCATTCTTATGAACCATTTAAAAACTCACATCACATTTTCTCTTCAATATTTTGTTGAAAATTAGCATATTCAATCCTAGATAATAAATGAAATCTTCAACCATTTTAAAGGATACATACAGGCCCCATCACCCAGCATTAATCAATACAATCAGTGTGATTTTGATTGCTGAACAAAGTCCATAACTTCAAATATTATTGTGAACAATTATAGCTGTTTTTGCCTCCAGCTAATAGGGAAATATGAAAGATAAGGATACCAAACCCCTAGAGCTATAATTTAATCTCCATGAAAAATTTGCTTCTTTCCTCTTTCACCTAACAAACAATCAAATAAATTACCAGCCTTTACTCTTGAAATGCAAAGTACTGGTGAATAAAAATACCTCAGACTTTAATCTGCATAGAATTTCCATTACATCAGATGAATATATGGAAGCTCCAAAAATCAGGAAGTTGTGTTAACAGTTGCTTGAAATCGGCCAAAAAGTTATAGTGTTGACTAAGTCTTCTTAAATTCCTGAGATATGATGAATCTGTCAAACTTAACATGGATATTTTGCTTATTTGTTGTAAGGATCAGTGATCACAAGCCAATCTCATTTAAAATGTTCATCTTCCTCTAAAATGAAAAATTTTAACTTGAAAATCTGCAGTTTGAAGGTGAGTTGGGTTGCCATCATTGTAGACACCCAATTTGTCCGAGGTCTACTTGTGATTTTTGCAAATAAAAAATAATGAAAAAATAGATGGTTGAGTTTGTGTGAAATTATTGGAATTGGTTTGTAAAGTTAGAGTTGGGTTTAAGTTTAGAATTCAAAAGAAATTAGGATTCCTTCCTGGATTGGAGTTCTTAGATTCATAACTCTATAAATACATGTTTACACATATCACACAAACACACAAAAAAAATTAGGGAGAGAAATAAAAAATTGACGGCAGGCAAAGGAATGTGAAGCTGTTGGCACCAAAAAAAAAAAAAAAGAATCGAAAAGAAGATTAAGCAGCAACAACGAAAGAAGCTAGCAAGAACCAAAAAATAGTGGAAGGCAACAGTGGAGGGAAACCACGTGCGTGTGGAGTAGGTGCCTTAGTGTGCTTTGATGCCTTAGTGTCATGTGATAGGCTAGCACATTGATTTGGTAAAATTTCAAAGGCTTACGTCAATTTTGGTACTTTTTCTTACTTTTATTTAGTTTTTTTTAATTGTTTGGTACTTTTTTTTTAATTGATTGTTTATTCATTTTTTTGTTTATGCATAATTGTTTATTTATTCACTTTATTTTATGATTTTCATTATTTGATATTAAATAAAACAAAAAAAGTAAAAATAAAAAAATAAAATTTTGGGAATAAATATTAATTATCCAATTATGAAATTTATTAAAATTTCAAATGATAAATTTTTATAAAATTCCTAGGTGAGAAATTTTGTCTAAATTTAACCCAAATAGTGGAATAATTTAGACAAAGTTTCAATAACAATAATTAATATTTATTTTCAATCCAAAAAAATTTAAAAATATAAAATATATAATATAAAATTTTGGAATTAAATACAAATTATCCAAGGATGAGATTTTTAGAAATTTCAAATGGTAAATTTTTTAAGAAATCTCTAGGTGAGAAATTTTCTCTAAATTTGTCCCAAATTGTGGAATAATTTAGATGAAA